TGTGTTGGTGGAATTCGTGCCCGGCGCTCTCCTGACAGCTACATACCAGCGCTGACTCCGAATAAGCATCAATGATCAAAGTTTGACAAATTATTGCAACCAGCTGGACCTGGATACGCGTAGTTGGACCCACGGAACAAGACCCGACAGAAGAACTACACGGCGCGGCGCCTGGCTGAGGCCGGGCCACCAGACACAGGCCACACTAGGGCGTGAACCTGGGCAACACGAGCTAGAGCCCGGCACCGTGCTGGTGCACGGATGCGCGACACGACCGGTTTGCTACCGCCCAGCTGGGGCCGGGCCCCCGGCAGACCTGCGACCAGGATCGACGACGAAGCAACGGCGACGAAACGCACGCGGACGCACCTAGCTAGAGCTGGGCGCCGCGTTGCCACGCAGGACACTGGTGTGCCAACGTAGACACCTGAATGCGTGCGATGTGCCATAACCCCCGGGATTTCGGCGCCCTCCGGGGTGCCTCCAGAATCCCCGTGGACCGCCTACATCGACCTTGACGGGATGACAACAAGTTCCGATACTTTTCTCTCTGGCAACGAGCTACTCCACCAGGCGGCGCGGAGCCCCGTCGCGAAGCCACCCGCCTAAATCGCCATGGAACTCCGGCCAATCGAATGTCAGCACCTCCTCTGAGTTGCACAACTCCAGGAGGGGCGCGTCATTCCTCGACGGGCCATCAGCCAAGTTCAATTTAGATGGGACGTACTCTGCGTGGTAAGTCAGAGGCATCCCGGCCATGTCAAACCACAGCCTGCCCGCAATCATAGCCAAATCCTCCTTGGGGGAGAAACCCTTCACGACGCACGCTAAAGCTGCTTTGCTGTCGATGTAGTGGAGGACGCGACAGTGATAGAGACGGTGAGGACATAAGGACACGATGCCAACCAGTGCCGCCAGTAGCTCGTCTGCGACGATGTTCGTCTTCCTGCTGCGGAGAAGCCGACGGACCTTTTTGGGCAAACGCCCTCGCAAGAAAACAGACGAGTCATCATCGAAACACGCAACTGCGCCGACGCTGCCGTCGTGCTCAGCGTCGGTGCACAACACAACCAGTGGCAGGCGAAGTGGCGGACCGAGGGGAGTAATGCGAAAAGTCTCTTGTTCAATGACTGTGAGAAACCATTGAATGGCAAAGCGGAGGCGGGCTGTTAGGGCACGCGGCCCCCGCCCCTGTCTCTGTCTCCAAATGAGCGGGCGCAGCAGGGCACGCCCAACTCTATTGAAGATGTGAGTATTCAAGAACTGAAGACGGCCACACAGCTTCGCGGCGAAACCTGGCGCGAGGACATCCTCGCGCAGGACGCCTCGCAAGTCCTCGCACCACTTCTCCTTCTTCTGGCCCCGGAGGGACCAGGAAGACTCGCCATCGGCCACAGAGACGTGAAGGCCAAGCAGTACGATAGCAGAGCCAGAATCTCTTTTATCCGGATCCAGCTGCCACCCCAGAAAATCGGTGGCGACTTCCTGGAATACTGCTCCGGCCCAGTCAGCTAACGCCACGCCGCTTGAGCACGCGCACTCCGGGACCACCCAGAACGCATCGTCTACGTACATGAAGATGATCAAAAGGAACACCCTCTGCATGACGTTTTGGATTGCTCTGGACGTTCAGTACCAGCCTGTCACGCCACCCAAATTCCCAAAAACGTGGGACCAGAGAGGGACAGCGACGAAAGCTCGATCAAGCGGATTGAAAACTAAGGCCCAACATAGCCACTCGTGGGCACTGTGCGGCGGAAGTGTCTTAAACGCCGACTTGAAATCTGCTTTGCCCAAGGTTGGGGACACGCCGTGGCCGGAAGCTGTGTCGACGACCTGGAGAGCTGCAATCAACTGGTGGAAATCGTCGTACTTCAGCTTCTGTGGCATGAACGCGAAATCATTCACCAGGTTCTGTCTGAAATTGCGGATTGCCCTGGCCTTGAGGCTGGAGGGCCCCCCGCGCTGCTCCCAGATCCCGAACGTGTCAACCAGCAGGACCTCGGAGAGGTCAACGTCCCGCAGAGAAACTGGTGGACCCGCTCTGCCGTCTGCGATGTCTTTGAGTGTTTGGTCCCAGACCTCGGCCACCAGACTCGCATCGTACGCAGACGATGTGCTACGAGCGCGGGCGACTTGAAGAGTTTTCGAATTCAGCTCAAAACAGCGCTCCTTCAACCCTGCGAGAGGTTCGGGGCCGCCGAGGCCTGGCCGGCCCCGACTCCGAAGCCCCCCGGGGACAGGCACCCCGAGATTACCTACATGCAACGTTTCAGTCAAAGGGAAACCAGCCATCAAGTCACCCACGTATTCTGCATCCTCATGGCCCGCTGCCTGCAATAACTTGTGCAACATGGAAGGGTCTAATTTTCCGAGGACGTGCCTCTGCTGCTCGGGTAAAGAACTCCCCCAGGCCTCTAATTGCGGACGGTGTTTTTCTTTCTCTGCTCTCCAGTGGCGCAAGGCCCTGGTCGTTCGGGCCACGCCCGCTCCGGGGTCAGAAGCGAGCGAGCGGAGGCCCTCAGCTTGGCAAGCGGTCAAGTGAAGACGCGGGTCCCTTGGCAAAAACTCGCTCTGCTCGTAACGAGCGCGGGCGAGCGAAACTCAGGTGGCCCAAAGCATCCGTCACGCAGCCGCTGTCTGGCTCGACGACGTGATCCGGATCAGCACTGTCAGACGCCGAAAGAGCATCTTCATCCGTGCTAGCGTCCAGATCAGCATCGTCTCACCATCGCTTGCCCTGGCCCTTGCCGCCTCCTAATGGAGCAAAGACGGATGGAAAGCTGGCTCTGCTCCGGGGAGAAGCCCAAGCCGACCCAATCAGCCGTTCGCACGGAAGAGACACCGAAGGCCCGCGGGAAGGCCCGAGGGAAGGCCCCTTTCAGTGCAAGAGCACGCGGTTTTTTTGAGCGCCGCCACCAAAGTTGGGTCCAGGTTTTGAAGGGGCAGCGCCGCGCGCCAACGCAAACCCCAACGGCAACAGGTTGGGCCCTTCAACAAAGTTATTTATTTTTCCCTTCCACCAAAGAGGCGGCGGCCGGGCGGCCGAGAAAGAAACGAAGACGACAACAACAGAGACGATTCCAGGAGCTTTCCGGATCCGTCCTTTGCCCCCCTTCTCGCCGCCGGTGAAAACTGGCGGCGGCGGCCTCGCGGCCTCTGTGGTGCACTTGCCGCCGGGGCGTGCGCGGGGGGAGCCCTGGACCCCGCGTGGCCGCCCTGGTGGCGCTGCTGCTGGGGCTGCTGGGGCTGCCGCCTGGACTGCAGCAACAGACTGACTGCTGAACGAGCCCGCGCGCCCCGGTGCTCGTCGACGGCCATCAGCATGGCGGCCGGGACGCACCCGGAGTCCCGCCGCCGGGTCCTCTCCGCCATCTCCGACCACAGGTTCGAGTCGTACTCGTGCGCCACGCGCCCGGTGTCCTCCAGGGCCACGCGGTTGAGGTCGAGGAACTGCGTGAGCAAAGCCTCGACGGTCACCGCCTCAACCCCTGCGTGCGCCTGCACCGTGAGTTGGGCCAGCCCGCGCGCCCAGAAACCAGCGACCCACTGGGCGTGGGTGAGGTCCGCGCCCCTGCGAGGCCGCAACTCCGCCGGCATCCACTGCGGGCACAATGCGGCAATGTCACCAGTGACCACGTAGGTGCGCTTGTGTTTAGCAGCTTTGCGGGCGGAGGCGGCTAGCTCGCGCAGCTTGTCGCAAGCGGCGTTGTGCTCGTGGCGAAGGCTGGGGAAACCATACCGGCGCAGGCAGGCGCTGGCATCGAAGTCCTCGCCGCGCGAGCTTGTGGACCTGCTGCGGGATCGGTCGCCCGGCTTCCTCTGTCCACGACGGATGGCCTTGCCGACGTCTCTGCCGAGCTGCTTGCCCGACTCCGCGCGGGCGGCGGCGCGAGCGGCTGCTCTCTGCGCGTGCAGGCACAAGGTCAGGCAGCCGTCGTCCCCCCGCGCCGGGAAGTGTTCTAGCAGCAGCGCCTCTGGGGCCACTTCCAACTGCCAATCTGTGCCCAGATTGGTGCCAGCAAGCTTGGCCACGACCTTGTTCTGCAAGGCCTCGCTTCCGGGCGGGCAATTCCTGGCCAGAAATTGCGTCAGCGTTTTTGTCTCTTGGGCGGGGGACCTCCCGGCGGCGGCACCAGCTGCAGACGCCCGTCTGGCTGGCGTCGGGGTCCGAAGGCGGGTCGGGGACCGGCCACGGCTGCCGCGCCGGCGCCGGCGGCGGCTCCCGGAGCGACGCCGGTCACGCCGGCGGGAGCGGGATCGGGAGTGATGGGAAGACTTGCGGGAAGATTTGGATCCCGAACGTGAGGCAGGCATGCCTCGAGCTGAGACGGTCATGGATGGTTCCATGCTGCGCGCGGCTGGTGCCACACCAACAACGACACAAATGCAGATGGGAACATGAATGCGCGCGACAATACGAATAACAACTACATGATTCATGCCAGCTGCAATGCTACACGCTCTCAATTCTCAACTGGAACACAATGAGAACTCAACTGGAACACAATAAGAATGGATATACGAAGAGGAAGAGGAATGATAGTACCACAGGGAAGGGGAACAAGGGTACACTAATGAATACCTGCGGCCCTTCCCATTCCTTTTCCCCCCATCACAACCGAAGCTTGTATGGTAAGGATGATCAGGAGGAGGAGGAGGAGGAGGAGGAGAAGGAGGAGGAGAAGGAGGAGGAGAAGGAGAAGGAGAAGGAGAAAGAGAAGGAGAAGGAGGAGGAGGAGGAGGAGGAGAAGGAGGGGGAGGAGGGGAGAGGAAGGAGGAGGAAGGAGGAGAGGAGAAGGAGAAGGAGAAGGAGAAGGAGAAGGAGAAGGAGAAGGAGAAGGAGAAGGAGAAGGAGAAGGAGAAGGAGAAGGAGAGGAGAAGGAGAAGGAGAAGGCGAGGAGGAGGAGGAGGAGGAGGAGGAGGAGGAGGAGAGCGCCCAGCTGGGCGGGGGAGAGTCTCCTCGCGGCCAGAGCAGGCCGGCCGGCGGGGCGCGGCGCCCCGGGCTGCGAGAAGACGCGGCGGAACTCGTCCCCGCCTGCGGCAGCAGGGGGGAGGCACGGGGCCGAAAGGTATACACCCCGACGCCTCCCTCATCCCCTCCCTCTCCCAGGAAGAAAGAAAGGAAGATTAGAGGGTGGAGGAGGGGCGGGGAATGGAGGAGGGAGGCGGAGGTTGATTGGGCATGAAAGGGCCCCTAATCCGTTGGTAGGGGACGTAAGTTAGGAGGGCCCAGAACATCAGGGATAAAGGGGGTCTTCGGTCTTCTCTGCAGACGTATCGCACCAGACTGCCCAGATGCACTATCCCCTGATGCGAAGATGGGGACCTCAGTGAGGCCTCGTCTTCATCGTGCTACAGGGTCGGGGGCTCCTTCATCCTCAATGAGATGTGCCGGCCGCCACGCTCGCGCGGCGCACGCCCCAATGGCACCCTCGCGCCGTGGAAGCGAGTCGCGGCGGAAGACCTGTGGCCAGGCTCGGCCTTCCCCGGGGCCCTTCCTGCGCAGAGGCCTCTCAAATGTGGTCCGAGCAGGTGGGGTCGGAGGATCGCGGCGCATCCCGATGCATCGGCGATGCATCGGCAACGCCAGCGACGAATCGGCGGCGTCGGCGAGGACAGAATCGAGCTTCGCATCGGGCCGAATCGCCGATGCATCAGCGATCCGGCACGATCTGTAGACCCCATCTACTCCGACTCCATCTGGGAGGCATAGAAAAGACGACTCGGCATGAAAAGCCGGCCCCTGGGAAGGGGTCCACAATTCTAGGGAGCAGCGCTGGAACTTAACGTCGAGTGTCTGCGGCGGGCGCGGACGTTCGCGCGCGCACGCCCCCAGACATCCGGCCGTTCGAAACAATCGAGGCGGCCGGCTTCCCGCTGTCGGGGCTCTGGGGGCTGGCGGTGGGTCGAAGAACCTAAAGAGATCCGATGGTGAGCGTTGTCTTTTTCGGCGTTTCGACATTGGGCGGAAGGCGGGGGGGGTCTGGCTCCGGACCTCTGCTTAGTGCGACTGTTTGGAACCGTGCGTCCTATGGAGGGGGGGGGAGGGGGTGCGAGGGCCCGCGCCGATCGGCAAAACAATGAATAAGAAAACGATCACATGCCCTGACTTTGTTCCGAGCGGGGGCCAGGGAAATGCCTGCTGCCTTGCCCGGGGCGAGCTGCTCACCCCGAGACGCCGTTGGACGGCCCCCGGGCCCAGCAAGGGCCCCGGGCGGCCGAAAGCCACGAGAAGACCTCCGCCCGGATGTGGGTTCGGGGGGCACAACGGCACCCCGCGTTGTTTGTAGTCTTTCATGGCTCCTGGCATGGGACTCTCGTGAGGGTGGAGGAGGCCCTCTTGGGCCATATCAAAGCGATTAGTCCTCTTCCTCTTTTTCTTCTTCTTCTTCTTCTTCTTCTTCTTCTTCCTCCTCCTCCTTCTCCTCGGGAAAAGCAGAACTCCTCATGATCCACCTCTGTTTTTCTCTTCATTCCATCAGACCGTTGGCAAGGCAAAAAACAAAGTTTGGGGAAGAATCCAGACTGAAGGCGAATCCGTGTGAAACATTGCTTGTGTTGTTTGCTGTTGCTGTGTTTGATGTGTTCGCTTTTTGTTTATGATTTGTCTTTTTTTTCCCCACCTCCTCCTCCTCCTCCTCCTCCTCCTCCTCCTCCTCCTCCTCCTCCTCCTCCTCCTCCTCCTCCTCCTCCTACCTCCTCTTCCTCCTCTTCCTCCTCCTCCTCCTCGTCCTCCTCCTCCTCCTCTTTCTTCTCCTCCTCCTCCTCCCTGATAAATCGCTGGCGGGGCAGTTCCCGGACGGAAAATGCGAAAATCACACACGCCAAAAACCTGCACAGACACCGCGCGGCGAAGAACACTCAAAGACGCGCCACCGGCGAAGCGAACCGTTCCAGAAGAAGGTGCCCTGAGGCCAGGGGCCCAGGAGCCAGACACACTCCACACACAACCTGGACACACCCTGGGCACACCCTGGACACACGCCAGACACACCCAAACAGACGCAAGACACACGCCAGACACACGCCAGATGCACTCCAGACACACGCCAAACACACACCAGACACACGCCAGATACACTCCAGACACACGACAGACACACGCAAGAAACGCACCAGACACACGCCAGAAACAAGCCAGAAACAAGCAAGACACACTCAAGACATATGCCAGACACACGTCAGACACATGCCAGACACACGCCAGACACACGCCAGACACGGGCCAGACACGCGCCAGACACTCCCAGACACACGCCAAACAGACGCCAGCCACAGGCCAGAAACACCCAGACACACGCCAGACACACGCCAGACACACGCCAGACACACGCCAGACTCATGCAAGACACACCCAGACACACGCCAGACACACTCAGACGCACGCCAGACACACGCCAGACACACTCAGACACAGACCAGACACACCCAGACACATACCAGACACACATCAGTCGCATCCAGACACACGCAAGACACACACACACACACACACACAAAGACACATGTCAGACACACTTCGAACACACGCCAGACACACGCCAGACACACACCTAGACACACGCCCGACGCACCCTAGACACACTCTGGACACACCCTGGGTACACCCTGAACAAACCCTAGACACACGCCAGACTCACGCCAGACACAAGACAGACACACGCTAGACGCACGCAAGACACGCGCCAGACACACGCCAGACACACGCCAGACACACGCCAGGCACACCCAGACACACGCCAGACACACGCCAGACACACGCCAGACACACGCCAGACACACGCCAGACACACCCATACACACGCCAAACACACGCCAGACACACTCAGGCACACGCCGGACACAAGCCAGACATACCCAAAAACACGCTGAACAGACCCCAAAACAAAGCCAGACACACTCCAGATACACGGCAGGCACGCCAGACACACGCCAGACACACGCCAGACACACTCAGACACACGCCCGGCACACCCAGACACATGCCAGACACAAGACAGACACACGCCAGACACCTAGACACGCGCCAGACTCACGCCAGACACACGCCTGACACACGCCAGACACACGCCAGACACGCGCCAGACCCACGCCAGACTCACGCCAGACACAAGACGAACACGCCAGACCCGCGCCAGACACGCGCCAGACACACGCCAGACACACCCGGACACATCCCGACACACCCCAGAATGACGACGACGAAGACGACAAGGGCTGCAACGACTGCGAGTGCGACGACCCCATCTCCAACTCCGACGACTCCAACGCCGGCGACGATTACGGCTCTGACGACTCCGACGACCATGTCCCTCCGACAGCACTTGTCTGCCTCACCCCTTCTGTACCCTACAGCCGAGATATCGGCGGCGTAGTGCCCTCCAGACGTTTCACATGGGCTACCGCAAGCGAGCCAGCGTAGACACATAAAAACGCAAGTCTCTACGCCAACAAACAGGTGTCTACACGCAACCTGGTTGTGTCTAGCCCTCCGGAAAACTGCTCTTTTTGACGTACGCTGGCGAATACGTTGGAACGCATCCTGGCCTCGCAGTTTTTCGTCGTGAAGGCATGTTTGCTGTGCGTGGAACCAGGGAGATGTTGCAGAGGACGCGCGCACACAACAATGGAATGTGGACATCTCGGGGTGGGAAAATTTGAATACCGCAAATATGTTTAGAGAACCGCGCGAACGAGACACCCCAAACAGATCCAGAAAGAACCTGGCACGCACTCCACACGCACCCCAGACACGCGCCAGACACACGCCAGACACACGACAGACACACGGCAGACACCCGCGAGACACACGCCAGACACACGCCAGACACACGCCAGATACACGCCAGACACACGCCAGACACAAGACAGACACACGCCAGACGCACGCAAGACACGCACCAGACACGCCAGACACACGACAGACACACGCCAGACACACTCAAGACATATGCCAGACACACGCCAGACACGCGACAGACACACGGCAGACACACACCAGACACACCCAGACACACACCAGACACACGCCAACACACACTCAGGCACACGCCAGACACACGCCAGACACACACCAGACACACCCAGACACACACCAGACACACGCCAAACACACTCAGGCACACGCCAGACACAAGCCAGACATACCCAAGACACACGCTAAACACACCCCAAAACTACGCCAGACACACGCCAGACACACGCCAGCGCCAGACACACGCCTGACACACGGCAGGCACGCCAGACGCACGCCATACACACGCCAGACACACGCCAGACACATCCCAGACACACCCCGGACACCTCAGACACACCCCAAGCATACCCAGACGCACCGCTGACACTCCCCAAACACACCCAGACACTCCGTGACACACGCAAGACTCACGCCAGACACACCCAAACACACCTCAAGATGACGGCGACGACGACGACGACGACGACGATGACTCTGAGGACTCCAACTGTAACGACTCCATCTTGAACTCCGACGACTCCGACTCAAACGCCGACTCCGACGACTCCGACTCCGACTCCAAAAGCGGTCAGGAAGGCGTTCATGCAAATTCCTGCGTCCTCTCGCACCATTCCTTTCCTCCCACATGGTGCCCTCGTCCTTCGTCCTCCTTTTCCTCCTTCTGTCCTCTCGCTCTCTCACTCCCTCCCTCCTACTGCATCTGTTTATCTCCATCCAGCTCTTTCGCCATCCAACCCTTGTCCATCCTCATCTCCCCCTCCCACCCCCTCCACCTTTTGTCCATCCTCCGCCCCCCTGTCCTCTTACCTCCCTGAACCTCCTCCCCCTTCCTCCTCCCGCCACCCAAGGACCCCCTACCTCACAAAAGTGCTCCTCCTCCTCCTCTTCCTCCTCCTCCTCCTCCTCCTCCTCCTCTTCTCAACCAGATCATCCTACTCCCCCTCTTCCTTCTCCTCCTCCTTCTCCTCCTTCTCCTTCAAACACTCCTGATCCAACTCATATCTCTCCGCTGGCAGACGGAAGAGGAGGGACAACACAGAGGGAGATGATAAGGAGCGGGGAGAGGGAGGAAGAGGAGTTGCCAAAGGAGGATGACGACCAGGAGGAGGAGGAGGAGGAGGAGGAGGAGGAGGAGGAGGAGGAGTTTGAGGGTCACTCCTCTTCCTCATCCCTCCCCACCCCACTCCTCCACCATCCTCCTATAGTAGACATCGGAGGAGGAGCAGGAGTGATAGAAGGGAAATGATGAAGATGGTGATTATGACGAGGAGGAAGATGATGAACGTTTAATTATCAACATCAGTATCTGTTTCCTATTCCTCCTCCTCCCCCTCATCCTTCCCATCTGTATCACCCTCCTCCCCCTCATATCCATTTTAGTGTTCTTTCCTCATCGCATTCATCCTGCACCTCATGCAAACCGCGCGACAGGAACGCTGGAGGAGGATGAGGAGGAGGGGCGAATGGGGGACGAGGAGGAGTAGGAGGATGATGTCAATGATTAGTTGCCCTTTCCCATCATCCTAGCCCTCTCAAACCTCCACTTCCGCGTCGCCCTCCTCGCTCTATCACTCGTCATCCTCTTCCTCATCATCATCCCGTCGCCCCTATGGAAGGATGATGGGGAGTGATAGCAGGGAGAATGACATGAGGCAGAGGAGAGTGGGCCCAGGAGGCGGATGATGTGTAGGAAGATGAGGAGGTGGAGGCAGATAATGAGGCGGGTCGGATGAGGATGATGCCAGGACTGCGGCGGACAATTGGTATGATGAGGAGAAGGAAGATGATGAGGATGATGGTGATGTGGAAAACGATAATTATGGCGACGGCTAACTCTTACCCCCCCTAAACATCGTCATCATCATGATCCTATCATTCCCTCCTCCTCCTCACATAACTCACCCTGTTCTCCTCGCATCTCACAGTTGGAAAGAGGATGGGGGAGTGATATGATGAGGAGAAAGAGGAGGAGAAGAGGAGTGAAATGAGGAAAAACACGAATTTGATGATGACTTGAACGTTCAGTAGTCACGCCTTCTCCCTCTGCTGCTCCTGTCAGTTCCCATCCTCATCATCACCCTCTTGTTGTATCAGTCCTGCCCGTCCTCGTCATCCTCGTCCTATCTCTCCTATATGAGGAGGAGGAAGGGGAAGAGGATGAGGATGAGGATGAGGATGAGGATGAGGATGAGGATGAGGATGAGGATGAGGATGAGGATGAGGATGAGGATGAGGATGAGGATGATGAGGAAGAGGAGGAGGAAGGAGGGGGGAGGGAGAGAATAAAAGAGGAGAACGAGGAGGAGCACGGGGAGTGACCCCTCAAGCACCTCCTCATCGTCCTGCTCATAGTTCGCCTCCTCTGGACTCCTCTTCCCCCCCTATCATCCCATCATTCTCCTCCCTCCATCTCCTCCCTCCTCCTCCGCCTCTCATGTGAGAGATATGAGAATCAGGAGGGCGAGGAGCATGAGTGATAGGAGGAGGAGGAGGAGGAGGAGGAGGATTGATGGGAGTGAGAGGAGGAGCAGGATGAGGACGCGGAGAGGATGCTGCTGATGAGCAGGTGGATGATCAGGAGGAGGAAGGGGAAAGGAGAAGCACTGAGCACGGAGTAGAGCCGAAAGCGTCTTATGCCCATCCAGTCTGGCGCCATGTAGCAGATGAGCGGGCAGAGGATGCGGATGAGGTGTGGGAGGAGGGAGAATATGAGAATGAGGAAGATAATGAGGAGACTGAGGAGGGGGAGTGGTAAGAGGAACAGCAGGAAACATACGATGAAGAGGATGAGGAGGAGAAGGAGGAGGAGGATGACACTAATGTGGTGGACACTTGGCAGGGTGAGGGAAATGAAGAGAATCATGATGAGGATGATGAGGGAAACGATAATGATGTGGAGGAGTAATCTTCACTCATCCTCATCATCGCCATCGTCGAGATTTCATCAGTCCTCGTCCTCATGCCCCTCATCCTCATCATCGCCCGTATCCGAGAGCCTGAGATAGCAGGCGTCGTCATCATCTGCATCACCGAGAGCCCAAAGCATCGCAATCATCGCTGCCATCATCTTCGGCAGCATGAAAAACTTGAAAAGCGCGGGGTGCTACCATGCCCCCCAACCCCCTTAGGCGGCAACTACTGGGAGTTTTCCGTCGGAAAAACTAAAAAAAATTAAGCCCCATTGGGGGGCTGTTACGCCGGAGTGGGCCTCGGATTAAGCCGGATAAACGGGATTTAGCGGGATTCAGCCGGATGAAGCGGGATTCAGCGGGATTAAGGCGGGATGAAGCTGGACTTCGGACCAGGGCAAAAGCAGAATCTGCCCCCTGAGGGCTGCTGCCAAGACGCTGGACGTCAGGGAACCACTCGGAATGAGCAGGTCCGCACCCCAACGCCCGGGCGGACCGCCCGCCCCGCCCGCGCGCCTGCCCGCCGCCTGCGCTGCCCTCGCAGTCGCCGCCGCCGCCCCGCGTCGCCGCCGCCGCCGCCGCCGCCGCCGTCGTCGCCGCCGTCGTCGTCGTCGTCGTCGTCGTCGTCGCCGTCGCCGTCGTCGTCATCGCCGTCGTCGTCGTCGTCGTCGTCGTCGTCATCGCCGTCGTCGTCGTCGTCGTCGTCCCCCTCCGGCTGGGGTTTTCGATTGCTGCGGCCTTCGGAGCCCAGTCTCGGGCCCTGGGGCTCTCAACAAGCAGGGGGGGGGCAGCGGAGGCCGCCCAAGGTGGGTCCGAGCAGAGGGGGCCGGAGGACGGCGCCGCATCGCCGATGCTTCGGCGATGCGAGGCGACGCCGGGAAGGAAAAGCTCGGGCTCCGGATGGAGGCGCACTGCCGATGCATCGACGGCAACCTGCGGCTCCGTGGGCGGCCCTTGAGAAAAGGGCTCCGAAGGCCACAGCAATCGAAAACCCCAGCCGGAGGGGGGACGACGACGACGACGACGACGACGACGACGACGACGACGACGACGACGACGACGACGACGACGACGACGACGACGGCGACGACGACGACGACGGCGACGACGGCGACAACGACGACGACGACGACGGCGACGAGCACGGAGCAGCGCGAGGAGCAGGAGCGGAGCGGCCGCTGGGGCAGGGCAGGAGGCACGGGCCTACGGTGGCGGAGTTGTCCGCGTCCGCGGCGCGGAAGGTGCGCATGACGAAGTCCAGCACTGGGGCCGAGGCCGAGAGCGGAGGCGCTCGTCCTCCCCTGCTGCGCCTCGTCATCATCGCCGCCATGCTCCTCGTCCTGCTTCCCAGCATCACCACCATCGTCGTCGTCATCATCATCATGATCATCATCATCAGCAGCAGCAGCATCAGCAGCGAAATCACCACCACCACCACACTCATCACCACCACCATCATCATCACCAACATCATCATCATAATCATGATCATCATCATCACGATCAGAATCATTATCATAATCCGAATCATCATCATCAGCAGCATCATGATCATCAGCAGCAGCAGCATCATCATCACCACCACCACCATCATCATCATCACCACCACCACCATCTTCATAATCATGATCAGCATCATCATCATCATCATCATCATCAGCATCATCATCATCATCATCATCATCATCATCATCATCATCATCATCATCATCATCATCATCATCATCATCATCATCATCATCATCATCATCATCGTCATCGTAATCGTCATCATCATCATCATAAGCATCATCATCATCAGCAGCAACCTCATCATCATCGTCGTCGCCCTCCTCCTCCTCCTCGGGCTCGGGCTGGTGGCATCAGAGTCCTCCAATGGACGCAGCCATCCCGCTCTCATCCTCCTCCTCCTCCTCATCCTCCTCCTCCTTCTCATCCTCATCCTCATCCTCATCCTCATCAGCAGAAGCAGCAGCATCATGAGCGCGCCCCCCTATCCCCATCAGTACGACCACCGCAACCACCACCATAGTTATCATCAATGTCATTATCAGTGTCACCGTCGTCATCGTCATCGTCGTTACCGTCGTCATCGCCATCGCCGTCAGCATCAGCATAAATATCAGCATCATCCTCATCGTTGTAAGATATTGATTAATGATCCCCCGCCTGTTCGACCACTGCCCCTGATGAATGAACACCTCCTCCCCAACTCGACCAGCCACCAGGCGGGAATCACGCGGGTCGCTCCAACGCAAACATCCCTGTCAGAAAACCGCAAAATTTGTGCGGCGACAAGCTTTGGATCGTGAGCCGGAACCCCGCGAACACTTTGTTTTGGCGTGTGACTGCGATGGCTAGGGTGAAGCGATGTGTGTCCGTTGCGCGCTGTCCCACTATCCATGACAAAAACGAATGCTGCATGCTCGCATGGGTCGTACTCACGATCCGGATTGTGCCACCACCCTCATTTTGTATATCACTTTGTATATCAACGGAGGTGGTTTGGGGCCATGATTCCTGATTGGCGGCTGGTCGAGTGGGTGTGCAAGTCCACTGCGCGCTGTTAAATTATCCCTGGCCAGAATGAATGCACACGCATTGCTGGCGCGCACACCATATGCCATGGACCATATGCTGCCCCCCCCCAAAACGCCACCACTTATTTGACACTGGTCATGAGGGGTCGACAGATTGACCAGTGTGTGCTGCCACGTGCACTCGCGCACCTTGCGCGCTCTGCGCGCGCGGCGTAACTTTCGCACTTGCTCGGCGCGGCTGGAGCACATGGCGCGCCTGGCGCGCGCAGAGCACGAGCGGCGCCTGGCGCACCAGGCGCACCTGGCACGCTTGGGACCCCGGGACACCTGGCACGCGCGGCGCACCCCACGAGCGTCGCACACATGGCATCTGTATTGGTTTGTGGTGGGAGGGAGCGTGGGAGGGTGGAAGCGCGACAGCCTCCGGCTCTCCATGGTCAGAAAAAATGTTCCTCGGCATCAACTACAGGGCCCACATTAGCATGATCGAAACGGACGCCACTCAAAAACCAGCGTTCCCGTTGAGAGCGTGTCCTCGCCATCATTTCCCCCACACACACATCATCATCAGCATAACCACCACCATCATCATCACCATCATCACCAGCATTAACATCATCATCATCATCATCATCATCATCATCATCATCATCATCATCATCATCAGCATCATCCTCATCACCCTAATCATCATCAGCAGCAGCATCATCATCACAATCATCCTCATCATCAAAATCATCGTCACCATCATCATCATAATCATAATCAGCGGCAGCATCACCATCCGCAGAATCACCAGCACAATCATCGGTACCATCGTCGTCATACACATCATCGTCTTCATCATCAGCATCGCCACCGTCATCATCTTCATCATCATCATCGTGGTCAGCATCAGCAGCTGCAGCCTCATCATCATCATCACCATCATCACCACCACTGTCACCATCATCATCATCATCATCATCATCATCATCATCATCATCATCATCATCATCATCATCATCATCATCATCATCATCATCATCATCATCATCGCCATCACCGCCCACATCCTCCTCATCATCATCCTCACCATCGCCATCAGCATCAGCATCCTCGTCATCCTCACCAGCATCGCCGTCATCATCGTCATAATCACCATCACCTCTGCACTCGCCGTGCCTCGTCCACTCCTCGGGCCCGTACCGCCTGGCTGGAGTCGCTCTCCGGTCACCGCTGGCCGTCACACCCGCGCGGTGAGGTGCTGACACAACAGGGTGTGTCGGACCATCGGGCAACCGTTGTGGCTGCAACGCGCAGTTGCGGCTCCCCGCTAGAGCCCAACAACGTACTGGTTCTCCTGATCTCCAATATTCCTACAATACGCCACTGGTAATCATCAGTTTCCACCTTGAGTTACCGGCAGTAGTGCGCAACGGCCAAAGTGTGGTTCACCTATCGTCCTGTTCTCTTTCTCAGCTTTTTCTTCCACGAGGTGCATCATACGTTTGGTTGTCATGCTCTTGGGTGGAGAGGCCACCTGTGCTGGATCGGTGTCTAGCTAGCCGTCGGCCGTACGCGGAGTCTCTCCGCTTCATGCTATGCAGGATGATACCGCAATCACGAGGGACACGACCATCCTCCCGTCGGTCCGAGTGGGGCAAGGTGCACGGCAGGCCCTTTGCCGCCGCCAGCGACGCGACGTTCAACGCGGGTCCAACATCGTTGCGTGATAACCCTCGCGGCCCCTTGCCGCGCAGTCTCGCGTTTTCTTCTGTCTACCAGCATTACCATGCTGTAGATCGGGTACGTGGGTGTCGGGGACGCCTTGCTCCTGCTTCCTTGACGTGCTCTTCCGCGCGGACCGTTCCCTAGGGGTGCTCGTGGGCAGGGTCATCGTGCAGCGTTTCCACAGCGGTATCCTTTATGACAACGACCGCGGAGGCCTCCTCCTCGAAAATGTTCGCGGAGGGATGTTCTCATTGTTAATATTATTCATAGTATAAATAGTAGTAGTAGTAGTAGTAGTAGTAGTAGTAGTAGTAGTAGTAGTAGTAGTAGTAGTCGTTAGTAGTAGTAGTAGTAGTAGTAGTAGTAGTAGTAGTAGTAGTAGTAGTAGTAGTAGTAGTAGTAGTAGTAGTAGTAGTAGTAGTACGAGTACTAGTACTAGTACTAGTACTAGTAGTAGTAGTAGTAGTAGTAGTAGTAGTAGTAGTAGTAGTAGTAGTAGTAGTAGTAGTAGTAGTAGTAGTAGTATTGCTTATCATTACAACTGCTATTATTATGCTTATTGCTACTCCTCGCCACGCTGGTACTCATAGAGGCCTCTTCGGAAGGTGTTCATGGAGGTCTTCGTCATCAAGGTACTCGCGGAAGTCTTCTCTAAGAGGGTGCTTGTGGAGGTTTTCTTCGCGTTGGTGCTCGCAAAAGGCCTTCTCTTGAGAGGTCTTCTTCATGGACGTGTTCGTGGAAGCCTTCTCTGGACGGGTGCTCGAGGAGGTTTTCTTCGCTCCCGCGTTCGTAGAGGCCTTCTTCGGAAGGTGCTCGTTGAGATATTATTCCTGGAGGTGTTCGCGGAGACTTTACCCAGGAGGTTGCTCGTGGAGGTTCCCTTGGTGCTGGTGCTCGAGAAGGCCTTCGCCAGAGCGTCATCACAATGATCTTCTTCATCGATGCCCTCGTGAAGGGAGATCTTCTAAGGGAGGATGCTCGCGGAGGTTTTCTTCACTCGCGTTCGCGGAGGCCTTCTTCGGAAGGCGCTCGTGGAGGTCCTCACGAATCTGTTCGCGGAGGCTTTTTCGAGAGGATGCTCATGGATGTCCTCTTCGTGCTATTGCTTTGGGAAATATACTTGCGGAATGTTCGTGGAGGCCTTCTCCAGGAGGCTGTTCGCGGATGTCTTCTTCACGCTGGCGTTCGTGGAGGCCGCCTTGGGAGGCTGCTCACGGAGGTTTTTTTCGTGCCGGCGCCAGTGAGGTATACTTTGTGGTGTTCGTGGAGGTCATCGTCATTACGGTTGGCTGGTCAGTGTTCCTCTCGCTGGCGCCGCAGTCCCTCCTTCGCTGGGTGATGATGCCGCTCTGTGGGTCATCATCTCTGTACTCGCCGTGCCTTGTCCAGTCCTCGGGCCCGTACCGCCTGGCTGGAGTCGCTCTCCGGTCACCGGTGGCCGTCACACCCGCGCCGTGGGGTGCAGAAACGACAGGGTGTGTCGGACCATCGGGCAACCGTTGTGGGTGCAACGCGCAGTTGCGGCTCCCAGCTAGAGCCCAACAACGTGGTGGTTCTCCTGACCTCCTATGTTCCTGCATCCTCAGCAGCATCATCCTCATCCTCATCCTCATCCTCATTATCATTATATAGCACCCCGCAATTGCGGATAAGAGTGAGGGGGCGGGCGCGGGCGACGCGGGCGTCGTCAAGCCGGCGGACCTCGTGGCCCCCACCTTCCCTGTCGATGGCGCTCCCCTTCTCCCCCTCCTCCTCCTCCTCCTCCTCCTCCTCCTCCGCCTCCTCCTCCTCCTCTCCTCCTCCTCCTCCTCCTCCTCCTCTTCCTCGTCCTCGTCCTCGTCCTCATCGTCATCGTCGTCCTCCTCCTCCACCTCGTCCTCCTCCTCCTCCTCTTCTTCCTCGTCCTCCCTCTCCCCCCCTCGTCCTTCCATCATCGTCCTCCCATTGTCGTCATGATCCTCCTCGTCGTCCTCCTCCTCTTCCCCCCCTCCCGATCCTCCCCCCTCCTCC